CTTCCCTCTTCCACTTGTGCTTCATTTCCATCGACAGGTACATTGCTGTTACTGACCCTCTGGTCTATCCAACTAAGTTCACAGTGCCTGTGTCTGGAATGTGCATCAGCATCTCCTGGGTCCTGCCCATTCTGTACAGTGGGGCCGTGTTCTACACGGGGGTCAGTGACGACGGGATGGAAGATCTAGTAAGTGCTCTCAGCTGTGTAGGTGGCTGTCAGGTTGTTGCAAATCAAGATTGGGTTTTGATACATTTTCTGTTATTCTTCATACCAACCCTTGTGATGGTAATTCTTTACAGTAAGATTTTTCTTGTAGCTAAACAGCAAGCTATAAAAATCGAAACTACTGGTAGCAAAACAGAATCATCTTCAGAGAGTTACAAAGCTAGAGTGGCCAAGAGAGAGAGAAAAGCAGCAAAAACTCTGGGGGTCACAGTGATAGCCTTCATGATTTCATGGTTACCATACATAATTGATTCATTAATTGATGCTTATATGGGCTTCATAACACCTGCTTATATTTATGAGATTTGCTGTTGGATTACTTATTATAACTCAGCCATGAACCCTTTGATTTATGCTTTTTTTTACCCTTGGTTCAGGAAAGCCATAAAGCTTATTTTAAGTGGAAAAATTTTAAAGAATAGTTCATCAACCATTAGTTTATTTTCAGAGTAAGTGTTAAGTACTAAGTAGAGAAAATTATGGACATTTCTAAAATCATGAATATCTGATAAAATCAAATATAAGAAATTAATAAAGCCTTTTCAAATTATAAAATAATTGCTTTTCAAATTATTTAGGAGAATGTCAGAAGAGGATTAAGCCATTAAAACATTATTAAGATATTTACTGCACCAAATATTAAATGAGAAAGTGGTTTCTACATGTCACCTGTCACAATGTTTTCTATTCATCTTTGGTAGACAGTTTTGTTTCCTCCAATTTGCTGAATTTTGAATCTCATTTAGAAATTGCAATCTCTATTCATCTTCTCTTTTATGCTCGCCTCTCAATTATCTTCAAATGGTCATTTGTTTCTTGATTTTTGTGACACTGTATTCGTTTCTAAGGTTACCAAAACAAAGCACCGTGGATTCCATGGCTTATGCAGCAGAGACTTATTTTCTCATAATTCTAGAGGCTAGAATTCCAAGAATAAGGTATTGACAAGGTGGGTTTCTTTTGAGGATCTCTCTCCTTGGCTCCCAGATGACTGCCTTCTGTGTTCTCATGTCTCTGTGTATGTCTTTTTAATCTCCTCTTTCTATAAAGACATCAGTCAAATTGCAGTAGAGCCCACTCCAAACACCTCTCTTTCACTTAATTCCTTTTTAAAGACTGAAGCGCTAGAGGTTAGGACTTCAGCATATGGATTTCTGGTGACAATTTTGCCCCCAAACTGACAAGTTCAGGTGCTGGGACATCACACAGGGTTCTGTTTACTTTATGCTTTTTAATGACTATTTTGACTATTTCTCCCTTTTCTTTTAGTGTGAGTAACTCCCAGAAGTTTGTGGGGCAGCAGGTAAACCTCTCTTGTTTAATGACTGGGCAGAATCTTGGAATGTTCAGTCATAATATTTTGGGACCAGTCATTGAGCCTTGGGATCAGGTAGAAACAATAGAGGTGGCTCTGAAATTTTGCAAATTGAAAAAAAAATGATGATAATGCTGGCACAATAATTATTAACAAAAGGGAACTTCAACAGAATGCTCAGTTATTACCAACAGTAGCCATTGCTATACCAACACATACCACCTGAAAAGAGTGTGTGATTCACTTCTGCAAACTTTCTCATCAGCCTCACCCCTCTGAAAATAGTGTGTGTTTCACCTCCATAGCATGTTGCAGGTTCAACATTCCTATGCTAATAAAACCAAAACCATGTATTAAAAAGAGTGTAACCAATGTGTATTGTAATTTTACATTTTGCTCTATGGAGTAGTTTCTTCTGCTAATTCAACATAAATCACTTTAGAATGCATATTTATGGTATTTTGTACAACAAAAGCAAGTTCTAGTGAAGTTTAAAACTTTTTTCTTTTCTCATATTTATCTGTTAAGCAATCACTAAAATTATTAGTTTTTTCTCATTAGTTTCTAGTCAGAGAATTTTAACTCCTTTCAAAAAAATTTCGAGCATTAATCATGTATAAGTACCTGTATCAGAATAGCTCACATTTTAAAAGTTTATAAAAGAATTGCAAAAATTAATAGAAAAATTGAATTAAAGTATGAGGGTTTTTCTGTTATTATATTATACACCTGGTATGAGGTTTTTTTTTGGGGGGGGGGGGGGGGGGGGTTTTTTCTTGGGGGG